TAAATTTTTATGTTATTTAAATAAATATTTATAGAGAAAATTAAAATATTTAGTTTTTTTATTATATACTATATATAATTTAAAGTATTAATAAAAAATAAAAATATATATATAAAATATTTAAAAATATAATATAAATAATAATAAAATAATTAATATTATAAGAGATAAGATAAATAAGATTAAAAATAAAAAAATTATATAAAAATATAATTAATAATTATAATATAATAAATAATAAAAAATAATAAAAAAATTTAAAATAATATTAAGAATTCAAAAAATAATGAAAATAGAATATAATAAAGTAATATAATTAAGATTATAGAATGAAGATAATAAATAAATTAGTAATAATCTTTATTTTATTTATTAAAAGAATAATTTTTAATTATAGTAATATAATCTATCTTTATATTTATTAATACAAAATCAATCTTATTTAATATAGTATTATTTAAAAAATTAATATTTATAATTAAGATAAATTTTATTTTTAATTATTGTTTATCCTTATAATATGAGCCATTCAAAAATTATAATGTCACGTAATCCGACTCTATCCGATCTATCCGCACGTATTATATCACATGATCTACACGTGTTCCAGTTATATGATTGATACAGGATTCATAACAGGGATCTGCAAATATTGGTTTAAATAAATATTTCGATAATTTTTTGTTATTTATTATTTTTGGAATACATCATGTTCAATATTTTAAGTGATTCTAAACTACATTTGAATATGTTTCCATTCAGTTGAATGACTATAAATCGACATACATGTACTATCATTACGAAAATCTCTTGTGCACGACTATATGCAGTTATTATACGTTTTTGCTTTAGAAGTGCATTTTTCATAAAGGTAACAATAATTTTTGTTCAAATAAATTAGGGATAATCATGCAACAATCTAAAACGATTCACACATACACACACATATATAAATTCCGATTTAACATCGGGATACGAAAATCAACCAATAAAATCTCCAACTATTAATAGCACGTGACTACATATAGAATTAGAATTAGAATTTGCTACATCCCTATTGGTTGCGCAAAATTTTACGTGGTAAGGGTCTAAAAAAATGCCGTCTATCTCGTTAAAAAAACCGACTGTAGCATACGCAAAAAATGGTGTCGGCGCTTACGTGCTGCAATGTCGAAAAATGGTTTTCCATTATTGTGAAAGGGGTGGGAGTAGTCGCGGAATGATGTATGTATGTATGTATGTTTGATTTTTTAAATAATAATATATACAAGAATTGTTTAATTCAATCGATGATTCTTCAACTACAAAGTGAGTACTTGAAAAAGGATCTAATCCCATTCGCAAAAGCAAATCCAGAGGTCGAGATCATGATAAAGCCTCGACCGTCTAAACATCCATGTATTCGTGGATGGTATTGTGAGTAACTCTTTATTTTTTATTCCAATTGGTTCTGAAGATTTAATCAATTGTGACAATAATTGTACTTAATCGAGTATTGTATATTAGTAAACGGTCGCGACAAAGTAATTTGCGTTCGGAAAATGAAACCATCAGAAATCGGCAAAGTAGCCGAATACATTCGTGATCATAGTGGTCAGAAAGCTACTACTCGATTCAAGAAACCCGTTATTTCTACGACTGAGAGTGTTCGTGGCATTTGGAGTCCCTTCCATACGCAGAAACACGTTATTTGATTCTCTAGTAGCGTGACCGAGTGTAGTACAAAATAAATGACATCGCTCATTATGCTATTACCATTTTGAAAGTTATGCATTTCTTTGTTTTTTCCATAAATACAAAATCAAATCAACATCAATTTCTTCATCTTTTGGTGGTAAATAGTTTTGCCGACCATAAAGAGATGTAATTTATTTATTAATGCTTTTTACACAAGTCACAAAACGTCATGTATTAACAAGTATCAGCATCGGATCCAATTCTCCAGGCATAAATTTTATACGTATATGCGAAACGTGATACCAGAATTGTCAAAATACATATTGCAGATAATTTTGTTTGACATACACGCGCCAATCGATTATCAAAATAACACTTAAATAAATAAGTAAATACTATCAACATTTGAGTCAAATATCGATATAAATAGGACAAGTTGTTGGTGGAACCACGCATCTCAAATGAAATTTTTTTTAATTTTCACGGAAAAACAATATTTATAGTAAAACTCCACAGATTTCTGGAGAATTCAAGTTTACAATAATCGTTATCAAATTACCATATGAAGGAAACGTCATCTAGAAATTGTAACTAAATCTGCCACATAAACCCGCCACCGAATTGAAAAGTCTTTTGTCGGTCCATCTATATATAATCGGAAAGGCCAAGCCTGTTGTTTCGTTAGTAAAAAAAATCTACGCCACCAACTAAATAGTTTATTTAATTTATACAAGAATAGAAAGAAAAAGAGCATGGCAGAAATCGAAAAAACCAAAAACTTTGCTGAAAGTACTTTCACAAATAAAACTACTACTAGTAGTCAACAACCATTATCACGAGGAAAATCTGTAGTTGGTCCACGACCGTTGCCCACATCCACAAATTCAAATATAACGAGACGAAGTAGTAACAGCAGCACTAGCAATAGCGATAATAACAGTATCACTAATAGTAACTATATCAATCATAGTAGTGAACAGCATCAAAATATGCGGTATACCACCACCACCACCACCATAAACACAGAATCGTCAAATATTGTTAATAATACCTCTGAACAATCAAGATCTGTTAATCCAGACGCCGCCTCAACCTTTCCAAAACTCGTATCCCCTACACCACATAAACCTATGCCAACTGTACAGAATGACATTTCTCGTGCGTTAGAAAGTCAAACGGCGCAACAAGAAACTGATAATAGTCAAACCAATCAAGATCAAACTAATATTAACAGAACTAATAGCATTAGTGACACACGATATCCTTCTTCGGATAATGAAAGTTGGTACGCAGGAGATGAAAAAAATTTAACTGTTATTGACGTTGATCGACAACAAAAACAGCTTACACAATCGAGTTCATCATCATCATCATTAGCACCTCTTTCTCAACCACAACAACAACAGCAACAACAACAAATAGTTTATTCTACACAACATCAATTACATCGAATCGATGAAAATCTTCAGCAGCAGCAGCAAGGATATTTTCCACCGCAGCAACCACAACCACAACCACCACTACCAGCACCAGCACACGCACAAAACTGGGTTAATAATGGTCAGATATATGTACAAGGACCGACACCTATACAATACCCTTCACCCTATAATAAACCAGGTATTTTTCTTTATTTCAACAATCAATAAAATTATCCAATAATACTAATTTATCAATTATTTACGAAGGTCGTGCATCGGAGGATATAACGCGGACGACTCCGATGTTATATTCTGAACAAAGAGGACATTCAAGTGCTCCAACTTCACCAATCGCTCCGATAGTAAATATTCAAGAACATTATCAATATAATAATAATGGAGAAGGAAGTGGACCAATGTTGTCTCATTCTCAGTCATGGAATAACATGGCTATTGCTGGTGCTGGTCAGCAACCAGTCTTAAAATTAAAAACGGATCCACAGACACTTAATAATAGTAATAGTAATAATGGACAATTTTTAGGACAAGGTCAAATTATTCAACCAAATAATTTTTATGCATTAAATAATCAAAACCATTGGAATGCACCAAATGGACAACAATATGATCAAAATGGACGTCCAATTTCTTATGTTGCAGGAGGAATACCACTGCAGCAACCTCCATCCAATTACTATCCACGTAATCCTTCGCCATTGGGCTCTGCACGTCAACCTTCTCCACAGTTTGGTCCTGACGGCACGCCTCTACCTCCAAACCTGGGAGGGACTCGACAAAGTTTTTATGGACCTGGAGCTATGCCACGAAGATCCCCAAGCCCCAACCCCGATTATCGTTTATCGAGATCTCCAAATACCAGTAATCTTCGTTTACTTATCGATGACAAAAATGCAAAACGTATGACATTTACTTCTTTTACGCTCGCAAGTGACGATACAGCGCTTCAAAAGTACCGTGAAACGGCATCAAAGACAAATGATCCGCTCGTCCAAGTAGATTATGCCAAATTTCTGATTGGGATGACGAACTTTTATTTTGCGTCCAATACCAATCAGGAAATCGATCCAAACAAAACAGACATGTATACTAAACTTGTTAACGAGGCTGTTTATTGGATTGATAAACTTGCGAAAAATAATCAACCGGAAGCCATGTACATTAAGGGTACTTGGTATGAAAGCGGGAAATTTACAAAGGAGCAAAATCATGAAAAAGCTTTAAAATATTACTCGTCGGCGTCGAAACAGGATCATCCAAAAGCTAATACTAAAGTTGGTGAACATTACGAACGGCAAAGAAATTTTAGTCGTGCAATATCGTTCTTTCAGAAAGCCGCATCTCTGGGCGATGTTTCTGCATTATATGTAAGCTAAAAGTATAACATTTTATTTCAAAATATTCAATTAGAAATCGTATTTAATCTTTCTTTATTTTTGATTAGCGGCTAGCATTAATATATATGCTAGGTGACATGAGACAAGAAGTCAATTACAAACAAGCGATGATCTACCTAAAACAAGCAGCCAGCAAGGCAGACGAAGACTGTCCTGAAGGTGCATTCGTCTACGGAATGATTCTTGCCAAAGAGTATCAAGCAGCTAATGTGCCCGACGAATTAGTCGTACCCGACGAACACGAGGCCAAAGAACTGATCCAAAAAGCCGCAAACTTTGGCTACGCACCCGCCCTCTACAAAATGGGTCACTGTCACGAATATGCGGCACTTGGATGTCCATACGACCCGGAGCTTTCTGTCTCGTATTATGAACGTGCCGCCAATAAAGGGTACGTAGAGGCAAACATGGCACTGAGTAAGTGGTATTTGTGTGGCGCTGAAGGATATTTCGATCAGAATGAGATGTTGGCGTATATGCATGCTGAGATAGCCGCGAAGAAAGGGTTGGCGGCTGCCGAGTTTGCGATGGGGTATTTCCATGAAGTGGGGATTAATACGCAAGTGGATCCTAAAACTGCTAATGAATGGTATTCAAAGGTAGACAATATAATAAATATTTTGTGATTGTTTATTTTTTTTTGATGCATTGTTGATTTCTCATGTGGTTTTTTATGTATATAGGCCGCTGTACATGGTAACCAAGATGCCATTGAAAGATTATCACGTGGTGGAACGATAACACGCCAAGAACACGATAATACTGTCCAAACAAAGTTAAAGAAGCAGCGAAAACCGGATAAGGATAAAGATTGTGTTATTCAGTAACAAACAAGATTTTAATGGCAACAACAACGATTTAATATTATTTTTATAATTTTATCCGAGAGAATATTTTTGGTTATTATATATATATATATATGTATATATATGTGATAATATCATTGAGGAAATATCTATTTATTCAAATAGTTCCCAAAGTTTTATATATACACAGTGGCTCTCTTTATAATGAGCGTATAAAAAAAACCAATTAGTAAAAATTCTCGAAACTCCACTATATCGAAATTTATTATTAAATCTACTATATCGAGTGGATTTTATTAAAGATATAAAGACCGTGGGGAGGGCCAAAATTACGTGAATATCTCTTCATATGTGGCTTTCCCCCCGGTGATAATTTAAGGTCACATGGACGTGATTTTTGGATTCACCCGCCCTATTAATCACGTAATTTCTGGCCCACCCCAAACTGAATTTTTGAATTTCGGCAAAATTTGCACTTAATAAAAGATTTCATTATATTTAATTTAGGACATTTGGCATTTGGGGGTTTTGCCATTTTCTTGAAAATAGGTAACATCAATAAGAGTGACTATACAAAAATACCGTTCTTGGTAGGGGTCATACCGTTTCAGATAGGTTGCCACTATATAATGGCAAAGCCACTGTATTATAGTTCGTTGTCATTATATGCGTAGCCACAATAATCCGCAATAACGAATAATTCCATGTACGACCTCTTTGGGGCTCAATATCTCGAGAACCAGTGGCGGGAATCGAGTGTAAAGCCCATCATTCGATTTACTGGGTTTGGTAAATCGAATGTTGGGTTTTATACTCGATTCCCGTCACTAGATCTCGAGATATCGTACTCCAAAGAGGCCATACGTGGGATTTGATGCACAGCTTCTTTGGGACTCCATATCTCGAGACCCAATGGCGGAAATCAAGTTTAAGTATACCATTCGATTCCCTAGGTTCTGATGAATTGAATGGTATACCTTACACTTGGTTCCTGCTACTGGGCCTCGAGATATTGTGATCCAAGGAGGTCGTGCGTAAAATCGCTCGATATCTCGAGGCCCAGTGGGGTGTAATATCACCATTCGATTCATCAGAACCTAAGGAATCGAATGGTACTCAATTTGCGTCACCGGGAGGGTGTTTATATGTCACACATATCAATTATGTAGATCTTACGCGTCTGTCAGTAAAAAAAAGAAATATTAATTGTATGATATGTATATCCTTCCCAAAAAAAGAATCCCAGAAAAAATGGCCCACCATACAATGATAAAGCCAATTGTAATCTACGATAACGAGTAAATTCTTTCTACGCACAACCCCTTTGGGACTCAATATCTCGAGACCCGGTGTAGATCAATTTTTGCTATGAAAACTGTAACACACCCAGAGTAGTCTATGCAGTAAATTACAGTAATTAAATCTTGTTCTTACAGAAGAATTATGGAATATCTACGAGCACTCTTCGTAGATGGAGCGAACGTGGCGATGTTTCGAGCGTTACCATGCCGGGTGGAAAACGTTTATATTCCGTCACGGACATCGACCGAATGTTTAACAAGGAGAGTGCGCAAAAGAAAAAACTGTTACGCACGAGTATCCAGTGAAAAGCAGAAAGATGACCTTGAAAGGCAGCGTGCATAGCTCACTTCTAAATTTCCTGATCATGAGATCGTTACTGACGTCGGGTCTGGTCTCAATTGGAAACGACGAGGATTCGTGTCCATTCTGGAACGAGTGTACGCAGGAAATCTCGAGGAAGTTGTGGTTACCCGCAAGGACCGATTGTGCCGATTCTCACATGAGCCCGTCGAGTGGATTTTTCAGAAACACGATGTCAAACTCGTGGTTCTCGGTACGGATGTTGAATCAACAGACCCAGACACAGGCGAACTTGCAGCGGTATCGTCACGGTGTTCACAGGCAGACACAATGGTCTTAGGGCTGCCGCAAACAAAAAAAGAAGACGAGAGAAGGAGAACGCAGTACCAAAAAATATTTGAGAAAACGAGTGATTAATAACGTTAACTATCAACTTGAGAATGCTTGGGTGAAGAAAACCCCTTCTGGTGTACGCGATCGTGCGCTGTCCGAATTGTTAAAAGCATACGATACAAATCTTAAATTTAATAAGAAATTCACGATCAAGAAAAAATCAAAAAAGTATAAACCGCAAACAATTACCATTGAAAAAAGGGATTTCATACGAAAAAAAAGGTGAATATGCGTTTCTTAAGCATATCAAGACCTCCGAAGAACTTCCCTAAATAAAAGATGCCATTGATATCACGCGAGACAGACTGGGTCGATTCTATATTTACGCGTGCGTACCGTTGGAAGAAAATTATCGAGGATAATGATTTCATCTCGATCGATCCTGGTGTGCGCACATTCATGAAAGATTATTGAATGGGGTAAAGGAGACATTACGCGCGTTCTCAGGCTATGCAAGAGATATGATAAATATCAAAGTGAGGTATCCAAAAGCAAGGGTGGATCTAATAAACGTAAAAGGTACACGCTAAAGAGAAAGATGCTAAAGATACATGATAAGATCAAAAACATCGTGAAAGATTGCAATCACAAGATCACAAAGGAATTATGTGAGAATTACAATACCATTTTTCTTACAAGATTTGAAACCAAGAACATGGTGAGAAAAAAGAAGAAAGATTCAAGACTCGAGAACCAAGAGTCTGATGATATCAGAAAGTTTAAGAAGAAATTCAATCGAAAGATCAAGAGCAAGACCGCGAGGATGATGTTGACATGGCCGCATTACAAGTTCCGACATCATCTCGCGCACAAGATCGAAGAGTACCCCGGTCGATTGTTGATACTCTGTGATGAGCAAGGTGACTTGGCGCTGGGACCTACCCCACTTGAATAATTAGCATGCTAACATTCGTTCTATAATCGTGATGTTGATAAAAAATAATTTTTATCGTGGATGATCGATTTTTCTATAGGAGTCAATAACTGACCACCCATAACTATGTGAAAATCATGAAATTTTCCAGACACCAAGAACATAACAGACGCTAATCATGATGCCTTTTATAGATCTACATATGTCATAAATCATCAATAAATTTATGTTAAAAAATGTCTCTCGAATCATAAATATCTGACTTCTTTATCTTGGCGAAAATTTCATGTTAAATTCCAAGAAATTTTCTGAACACAAAGAACAACCAAAACTGACATCTACGTTTTTATAAGCTGGCATACTTCTATATTCAGGCATTGAATGTTTCATCAAAACTTCCATGCCTCAATTTATGGTGCGTATCTCGACGTCTAGTGATCCGATACTTGATTAAATCCGATCGCTACAGTGGCCTGATTCGAGATATCGACGATTCTTTGTAAGAATCCATTCCTGATATATAAGTTTTACCGGTCTAAAAGACAGAGATGATCAGCGTTTGTAATGTTCTGTGTTCGAAAATTTTTAACATTATACATGATTTTTGGAAAGTCAGTTATTTATGAAATTGACTAAGAAATTACCAATTTAAAAATACATAATCATGCAATAAATAAAAATACAAAAGTATGCTACATATTAATATATTGCTTAGTAAAATTATATTGAATTTATTAATATTCAATTCTGATTTGAAATCAATATACATTCTGTTCTAGCTTATGACATATATATTTATTATACAGTCATTCTTCCCTTCTAAAGTCCCTATCATATTCTTCAATTGGCTCTAAAGTCTCTTCATATACATTTTCCGATTCAGTATGTGTCTGATTTTCATTTATAGATTTATCATCAACATTTTCTTGACCTACATATATTACGCTTTGATCATTTTCTTTGGACTCTCCTTCCTCCTCGATAGATACGGCTGGATTATTCAATTTAGGAGAAACGATTGTATCTGTTTCTCGAGTAAAAATTTCCCATTTCTGGCGTCGAATAAATTGCATCTCCAGAGGCGGCTCTTCGAGAAATTGAATTGATATGTATGCTCGATAAGGACTCTCTAAAATGCCTGTAGTTATGATGACGAAAGAGTGAGTCCAGATCCTTTATTACTGCTTTTTCCTCTCCAGCATGTTTTTTACCTGATTTATCCTCCAATTCCTTATTTTTTGGTAATAAATCTTTACCAGTAGATCGAAGCCAGTATGACCAACACTGTCCAGAAGTTTTTGTGGGGACTTCCTTAGCTATTTTTGCCCAATCTTCGCCGTATTTTGCATAGGCTTCTTCGAATGCGGTGATTTCTTCTAATGTCCAAACTATATCACCGTAACGATTTTTTGCAGCTGTTAATGTTCGTCCCGGCAACCGTTCTAGTGTCTTGGTCCAATCATCGCCGAATTCCTTTACTGATTTAAAAAGTATATCGTTCTCTTCTTTTGTCCATGCGTTGCTTGAAGGTGAAGAAGGCGTTTCATATATAATTTGTACTTTATCGGCTTGTTTTCCGAGTGTATCGTTTATCTGATACCATTCTTTGTCGAGTAATTCACCGATGCGTATATCCAACGGCTCACTTGTATTTGCTGTTACTGTCTTCCGATTTGCTACTGTATTCTCATATTTTATTCTACATGCGTTTTCAGTCCTTAAACCATGGAACATCTCAGAAGAAATCAATTCGAAATTTTCTCCATATTTCTCTACACCTTTAAACAGTGTGTCGATTTCTTCATTAGTCCAGACACGTCTTGTCGTATTGTTATATCTCGGTATAGCAGAATTCGGCATATCGTTGCTATATCGCAATGGCATTGGACCAGAATTTGGTGGCATAATGTTAATTCGTTGCCCCGGATTTGGATAGTTACTATTATCGGGTCGTTGTCCAGAAGGGTTCAACTTTCCTTGAAGAAACCTATCCCATGCCATCATACAAGCCCTAGGACTTCTAGAAGATTTGAAATAATTTTGTGATATTAAATCCCATTTATCATCAGAACCTTCTTTTTTTACAGCCTCAACCAATAGATCTTTTTCTTCTGGAGTCCATATTTTATATCGAGGGGTAGAAAGACCGGTGGATCCGTCGCTACTTGTAGGAAACGACGTCTGGTTAGGATTATTTCCTCTATAAATTTCTCGATTACTATTTTGAAAGTTGACGGGCGTCAATGATGATCCTTCACCATATTGAAGTCTGATTGATTTTTTTAAAATAACAAATAAAATTTTTTAAATTCGCGTACGCGTGCACGAATAATTAAATAAGATAATTATTGGTTTACTTTTGCATATTACTACGTTCTGGAACTCGATAAATGGTTCTCTGTGTATTTTCTGGTAACGAAGATCTACTAGGAAGAGCACTGTTACTATCATTAATGTTGCTTTCTTGTGAAGGAGGTTGTTGTGAGGGTGGTGGCTGAGGCTGACCTTCAAACACCGATTGCCTTGGTCGAACAAACGGATCACCAAGAGGACTAGATCTTGGTGTTGGCGCCTTTCCACCAAATGCGCTAGAAAATGGATCTAATGACGAGTAGTATGCCTTTGAATTGAATAACAGGTTCCGTGATTTTATCAAATTACCGCCATTACCACCACCACCACCACCAGCAGAAATTTTATATAGTTTCTTAGGGTCTAGAAATTTTAGCATTATTTTCTTCAAATATGTTTTATTTACAGATGACTAAACTTTTATTTATTACGCGTTTCGTTAATTGATCATGTGCATGACATATGCTTTGATTTATGGAACCAATCAAAATATATGCATTAATAACTTTATTTAATCGCCCATTGTTGATATTTTTTGCGCAAGAATTTCTTGAATAGATTGTGTGGGTAAATTTTCGCTTTTACCTCCTAGCCGTTCAATTACCAATTTAGGACGCACACGATGTGCATGATCATACCAACAACTAATTCCTGGCTTTACATCATCATGAGCTGGGATAACAGAAGTTGAAGTCGCAGTTGTTGGAAAACTATTATTTGGTATCAGTATTGTAGATGACTCATCACTGCTATTTTTCTCTTGCAACATCTTGTCCCAAGTGTCAACCATCTCAAAACAAGTCCTATTACCACAGGTATGCTTTGTTCTTATTTTACAATCTTGACATTGAATAAACAATAAATTACACGCTTTGTTTCGGCAATTTATGTGAATATCGCAAGGATTACCACATGTGTGACACTGCGACACAATATCGTCAGTTATTGGTTCACCGAGCCGCTTATCGAATGTAAAGTTTCGTCCTTTATATAGTGATTTGATGAATGGATTGGCGGCAACAAATCTTCCGTATGCTGTTACACCACCTTTTAGCACATTTACGAATTTGAAGCCATTTGAGCGTAGAATTGCGCCAGCTTTAGAACAGCGTATACCACCTGAAAAAGGATGTTTAACAATTTACGAAAATTAAGATTAAGTTGAGAATCCCAAGACGCAATTAGATCGTATCTTAAATCGTACCTGTACAGTACATGAAAATCTCTTCGTCTTGTTTCCCTTGGCAAATCTCATTCATCGCTTTAATGCTATCACGAAAAGTATCTACATCAGGACGTATCGAATCTTCAAAATGACCGACCTCGCTGATGATGTAAAGGAAAACCAAAAAAATTGTATGAAATAAACTGAAACCACATCAACATTTCGATGCTGAACTATATACATAATTCTGATCATTTAACGTTGTGTCTGTCCTTCTTAGAGATCAAACTGTTATAATCTCGTTTACCTATTTATATAATAGAACCAATTTGACTTTACAGATAGTAAATAATGATAGAGGAATAAAACCCAAAGTATTATTTGAAGTAGTCATAAGCGTAATTGATTCTTCCTGTTATAAAAATCGATGATCAACTTACGATTCGTAGTGATTCCGCATATCTATTACTATAGGCTTTATATCAGTATTAGAGAGTGCATGATGCCATTCCTGCGCAGACAAATGTTTTGGTTGTTTTTTAATATCATAGGACCCGGGTTTAAGACCATCGACGACAATCTATTTAAATAGTAGAGTCAAAAGATAAAAAAGAAAAACGCATCACATTGCCATGAAACTTAGACAATTTTGCAGCTTTAATTACTGCTCTCTACCTGATTCCTTATCCGCACAATCAATTTCAGAAAAGATGCTCGATCTCCATGTACCGTCGAATAGTTAAATTCTCCGATCCCATCATCTATCCGCTCATCAACCTTTCCAAAGAATTTTGGAATTTCCTCGTCACAATACTTTCTTAACGCGTTAATCTTTTCACTGGGACATGATAGTTGAGCATTGATCCCCTCAGTAGAGATATAGATCCTACCTAAAATCCCAAGATCTTTGAAATTTTTTAACATTGTTTGATGGAGAGAACCTAAACGTGCATCTTCAATAGGATTAAAAGTGTAAAAAGACAAGTTGAGCCATTTAGGATCTTTATTTGGTTCTTGATCTGAATTAGAGCAGGTGCCTGTTGTTATCGTTGTGTTAAAACGAATTTGAGGTTTTATAGGTCTATTGAGGCTATTGGAATTGCTCTTGTATAAGGAAACTCGAGCATTGTTCAAGTTTCGGAATGCTCGATGCAAACATGTGGTTGCGTGCGATGGACGAAAATGTAAATTTTCTGGTATGAATGAAAGTTTTATCGCTGCAAGCTTTATTTTATAGGAAGAAGACGGTATCTTCACGCTATATTCAGAAAAAAGTCTCTTACGAGAACCCTGTATAAATCCCCAAAATGGTCGTTCTATCATTTTTTACTTCGAGAATGCATTGATCTGAGACAAAATTTTTAATTTACAAAAATTATTGACGTTACACTAAATTTAGACTGATGCTATTTTTATTTACGTTGATATCGCGTTGATATAAGCAATTCTTAAGTGATCCAATTCTTCAAACATCTGATTCAGTAATTCTTTGGCTTTATGCAAATTTGGCTTTTGATCGATCATCATTATTGAAAAGAAATATTCGTTAATTTTAATGTTGTTTGTTAATGCAATCCAAGAAGTTTTTGTAAATACCTGAAATACGTGTATTCCGTATTGAGAAGTTACAACAAGTTCTTCAAGTCCATCTTGATTCAAATCCAAATGATCAATTCGATAAATGGGATGAGCAAATGATCGTCGCCATATTAATTGAAAAGTGGGGTCGTTATCGTTTTCTATCAAAATATTACGGGTGTTAATAGATAAACAATTATAATGATCCAAGAATTAATTGAACTAACCTTCTTGTTTATATATTAACATTTCTCGTCCATAAGTACCCACCAAAATCTCATTTCTTCCATCCCAATCGACATCCATCACATGCGAACAAAGCACACTATCATATTGAGTGCATTCTTTCAGCTGTACCGGGTACTTTATGCCTCGACTGTCAACAAACCGATAGATTAATACTTGTTCTACGGCACATGTGACTAGCATGTGAACATCGCCAGGGTCTTGTTTGCTTGTTGATGTGGTGAATATTGAGATTGAGGTGATTGGACTGAATAATGGGGCAAATTGTGATTCTTCAAGTTGTATAAAATTTCCTTCTTTTTCTCCACCTTCACTGTTATTGACATTTGAGTCTTTTTGTAAGATTGCTAAATGTAAAATTCCATTCTGACATCCTGCTGCGATTATTTTCTTTATACCGAAATCAAATATTACTAGTGACAAAATGCTGTTAAATTGCTTTTTAATTAATAAATCGAATCAAACAAAAGGAATGATAAGGTTAAGTTGTTTATTTCTTATCTTACTTTGATTTCGAATCAGCCACCTCCGAAAGAAATGGGAAGTAAGGCTGTACAGCTTCTTCTTCCCATTTTTGATTTTTAAAATTCTATAAAATTAAAACATTCATTAATTTAATTTATACAAATAATTAATAAATGAATATTCTCAATCCTTACAAATGTATACAAATGAACTCCGCCATCTGTACCACACAAAAGCAAACAAAGCTCCGATGTGCTATTATTGTTGTTGTTGTAGGCCTTGCGTATTATCGTGTGGGTCAATTGCATCGGTGTAAAGGTTAGTTGAATTTTTTGGCATTTTTCTAAAAGATAAAATTTTTTTATCAAAAAAAAATAAAATCAATAGTCATAAAATGAACGCGCGAAATACCAGTTAATTTAAATAGCGCGTCTTCCATACACAACACCGATCCTAGATCATTGAGAAAATAGATACGAAGCATAAATTGATGTTGCCCTTCGACTTCAGTAGTATTTTTGGGACTATTTAGGACCTGTGACGAGGATTAAAAGAATATACATTTATTATAAAGAAGAAAATAATTGTTGATAATATAAATTACAATTACATGAACAGTAGTAAAAGCCAACACTAGCCCTATTTTATCACTGTAAAAAGAATCCATTGAAACAATCTCACCTATAAAAAAAATTCAGTGATGAAAATCAATCAACTTGATTATGGCATCTTATTCTAACTAACCAATATCTTTATCTAATTGCAACTCGATAGTATTCCAATATCCAGCCGCGGACACAAAACATGTGATCCCGTAAAAAGAACTGGCAAATACATGCTTGTATTTAATATCATTAGAAGATGCTTGTAATTGAAAAAATTCGATAAATAAAAAATAACAACTAATAATTTGGATCATAAAAATTAATTTCAACTTAATTACTAGGCATATGCTGATGATGATCATCAATATTATCGTTAGGCATCGACTGTAAAATACCTGATGGAAAATCTGGACTTGCAGGTATTTTACCAGACAAAGGAGTTTCCACTACTGATAACCCATAAATATTTCTAATAAGAAAAGGAATAATATTTATTTTGTTAGTAGATGAATTTTTACCATTATATTATCATCTAAATTTCTTACGTTCTTCCACCGGATGAAAATCGCAAAAAATGAGATTCATTAAATAAATCATCCATCGTTTTGTATTTGACAAATTGTTAGTGCTAAATTGAATTTTTCCCCAAAAAGAAATGTTACAATGCATAATTGTTTTGGCCTGATGTCATTTTCAATAAATAGCCTATTTTTTAATGAACTATTTATCCTCGTGACAGATTTTTGAATTTTGAAATGATTTTATAGTTAACATTCTCTCCGACAAAAATGGCCACAGGAGATCCATTCTTTGCGGTCAAAGAGTAAATTTTCACAATTATACCTTTAAAGTTCGAAAAACCATAAAAATGCCTCGAACGAGTCTCTTTTTTTATTGAATCACTAGAGGCAGCTTTACTAAGTACCATAAAAATCTTATTGCAGGGAAGTAGAACAAAACGTCACAAATGCAGAAGCACTTTTCCAAAGCTGGACACGCATATATAGTACCGTATCCTCAAGAAACAACGAAGAGCTTCAACGAACCGAGGAAGAAATTAATGCTATCTTGCAGACTATTCTAGGAGATTTGGATGACTTGGACGAAACTATTAATATCCTTTTCTTTGTAACTTTATTTTATTTTGCTATCATTATTATTATGGTTATTATTGTATCTTTTACCAATATAATATTGAACTTATAAAATAACTGGATAAATAAATAAATACGAATAGTAGAATTTGACCCGGCAAGATTTAATTTATCAAGTAAAGATGTAGAATCTCGTAAGAGTTTCGTAGAGGTTACGCGACATCGAATACAAGTAAGTTTTTCATTTATCAGTTTCGAGTTTCAAAAGAAATTGGTAGTAAAAGTTGAAATGAATTCTTTATATTATAGGATATAAGATTAACTTTATCAGAACCACCAGCTCAGTCACGTAAGAATGCGAAAAATCAACGACAGGTATTTATTATATTCACTTTTCGTCATTACCATATACTGAATCAAAAATAAATTGAATTGAAATATTTGATTTAAATAATAAATAATAATTCTAATAAATATTAAAAATAACAGCATGATTGTTATTTTTATTTATGTATAGGAATTGTTTGAAGGCGGCCGACAAATATTCTCAATAGATGACTACTCTTCGCGATCACGAAGCGAAGAAGTAGAATTGGATAATACGCGTTTCATAGAAAACGAGGCATTTCAACAGACAGTAAGTTAGTTAGTACACCATGTGTAATATTCGAATTATCAAAAATTCAAAAGTGGAATATCTAGATACTCGTTCAAGAACAAGACGAACAACTAGACTCACTATATGGCACCGCGCGAAATATCCACGCTATTGCGACGACTATGGGCGCTGAAATAGAAGATCAAAATATGTAATTATAGTTTGTTTTTTTTGAATTTTGCAAATTATTATAATTTGTTTCTTCATTTTAATTTAATTTTGTAGACTATTAGATGACTTTGGCCACCGACTTGACAGCGCACAGAGTCGAATTGATAGATCGATGCGAAAATTGATTTATATTATAAAAAAGAACGAAGGTATAGCATTGTCATTATATATATTATATTATGATATTTGATTTTTTTACAAGTTAAACGATTTTTTACAAAATTGTAGAGACAAAATCTACATGCTGCATTGGAATACTTATCATTGTTTTGTTTATTCTGCTGATTCTGGTTATCGCCATATGATTGAACCAAAATATATATATTTATTATATTTATTTATTTTCAACTTTTAAATAAAATCAAAAATATTTGAAATATCAATTTCTCATTATTCTTTGCTAAGATTATATAAATTCTAGCATTCAATTTAGCGAACCTCTTTATAAAGGCCAATTTATTAATGACTTGTATCTTGAAATTTTATCTATGAACTACTTAACAAAAAATGTTCGTTGTGAAATATGAGTCTGCCCTAAAAGTTCGGGCCACGTGATATTGCTGATCGGCATCGGCTCTTCCGATCCATGGGATATTCAAGTATACTTGATTAATACTTAATATATATTAAAGCCTCTTGTCTTGATATAGTGAATTTTCACAAACTGTCCAGATATCTTTACTGTAAAGAGTCTTGATTATATTATTATCTTTTTGGTATGAGTATTAATTTGAGGTATGAGTATGATTCTTAAATTATTAAAAACATATATTTTTACTAATAACTATAATATCAGAGGATTCTTTATAGTGTATTAATAAGAGTATTCTTTTTCTACTAAAGATTATCAGAGGTAATTTCTAAAGATAGGTAATAATAGTATTCTTTAGATTAATTAACTAAAATATAATCCAATTCCAAAGTATAATTTTAAAGATAAATATAATGATTAGTTTATTAATAAGATTAGTTTATTAATAAGATGAAATAATAGATCTTAATTAAGATCTATTCTATAAGAGATATTTCTTAGAATTCTCTTTAATTATAATCTACTTAAAATATAAATTGAAAACTAAACTTATAGAACTCAAACTAAATTAATTAACTAATTATTTAGAATTTACTAACTAATTATTCTTTTTATTAGTTAAGATATATTACTTTTATATATTTTAAAGATTATATGAATAATATTTTTATTATAATACTTATGCTACTTTTACTATAATTTAAATATTACTTTAATTAATATCATAATATTAATTTTGCTATGATAATATTATTAGTTTTGTTATAATAAATTTATTAACTTTATTATAATAATTTTTGTCATAATTATTATATTTGTAAAATCTTTTAATTTATAAATAATATTCTCTAAAGCTAATATTCAATAAAATATATATAATTATTTATCTAATTATATTGTAATATAAAGTAACTAATAATAAATAAGTAATTAATACTTTACTAAAAGTTTATATTATAATAAGATTCTTTTTATTAGTATTTTATTTTATAAAGTTTAAGATTAAATACTATATTTTTACAAAACTCAATAATTCTTCAAAGTTATTATTAGTTATTCTTTCTAATTTTGTTGATAATAACTTTCTTAAACTTAGAATTACTTGTTCTGAAATATATTAAAATAATTTATTAGCTCTACTAATAATTTTCTAATATCAGAATATTAAGTTTTTAGTTATTACTTGTGAAAGTTTGTTATATAATAATAGTTTTTCTTTAATTAAATCTGTAGTTATAATAATATTTATTATTTCTTGATCTGTTTATAATATATTAAAATTAATATTTCTATTAGATAGAGTTATAATTACTATTTTTATTATAATATCTATCAAAGTAATTCTTATTCTTAACTTATAAGTTAGTAATATTTTGAAAAAGTTAGATATAAAAAAAAATAATAAATTCTATTAAGTAATTAAATAAAAGAATTATTTATAATAAATAATATTTTATAAATAAGTATAATATAGAATAAATATACTAAGTTAAAAAATAATATAATATAATTAATTAAAATTATAAAAATTCTGAATAAATATATTTTTCAGAAAGATTATATAAAAGAAAATCTTCTAGACAAATAGATCTGAAATATAAGTTGATTTTTATGTCTAATTTTCATACTATAATATATAATTTTATAATTTCAGCTATATTATTACAATTTAAAAGTTAATATAATTTTGTATTATATTAAATAATTGCTTAATTATATAATTTTTATTAATATTTCTTATATTAATTTGAATTTGTATCTGTTTATTATTCAATTATTAATTTTTTCTTTATTTCTATAATAAAATTATACTTTTTCATTATTTATATTAATATTATTAACAGTATGATTTTTTTATAAGTTTTATTAATTTGATAAAAATAAAGATATTCTTTTATTATAGATATTTACTTTTTATTTTTTTTCAGATAAGTTTATCTTGCTATTGAATTAGAAAATATCATTTTCTTAAAGAATTGATATTTTTTTTCTTTTTTTTCATTTCTTATATAATAATTGTTATTATATTATTAAGTAATTATAAGATGATAATTTTGTGAGTAATGATAGTATTGTTACCGTTTTAAGATTATACGTATGTAATTATTTTAAAATGGTAATAGTGACTGTGTTCACGGCAATTGTTTACTTTTATAGGTCCAAGAGGGTTA